GTACTAGAGAATTGAAATAGTTAGCATCCAGATAGCGCAGCGAGCGCTAGTGCTAAGTTTACGTATATAGTCACGTCCAAGTAATGTCCGCATCACAACCCTTGCCAGGTGGTATATTCACCTGTTCTCATATCAATACTGATTGTAAGCCCAGATCATAGCTATAGACCTGACTGATAGCATATAGGTACACAATCCTACAGCAAACACACTCGAACGACAGGTTATCTCACTGGGAAAGCAGGAAACCCCGTGAAGCCTGACCTCTGTGTTTATCGGGGTTGATTCCTCGATAAGCGCAGTAAAGAACGACAATGTGACTCGGCAATCCCCGTGACTCACGAATGACTCATCTAGTTCCCGCCCTTTATTTACCTCTGTTTGTCTTGCCTTACCTATATAAGACTGTGCTCTCACTTGTAACTTACCTTTAACCTTGATCTAGTCTATATACCGGCTACCTAGCCGCTTATCTTGGTTAACTTGCTCGCCCTTGTCTTTGTTAGTAAGCGGCCACCTAGCCATTGCTGACAACCGGCTCGGTCGTTTCAACGGAAGGTTTGTGCATCATACTTGTGGCAGATCGTCATAATTTAATATAAGTATACAGCGCACACTTGAGCCCGGTAGTAGCTCAGATAGCAAAGGCGCGCAGAACTCTGATGCTGAAAGTGACTATGTGCCCGGTTCTTTAGCCAAACGCCCAAGCATTGAGATTGTCTCGTACTGCATGAATTAAGGTGCATGTCTTGAATGTACAGCTGACTGATAGGGTTGTAGAACGACAATGGCGGGCAATGGAAGGTCCGCTACGAACACCAAAAGTGTCAACTCTGAAAATCCCATCAGGATCTCATGTGTGTAATGTTTCAGATATCCATCTATATCCTTATATCTCATGCACGACACTCAGCAAGTACACATAGCAGCTCACAGACTTTAAAAGCTGCCGTGTTCAGGACTCCATTCCGGAATACAATCATCTCTCCAGTCTCTTCTGCCACAGCACTCTCTTGGCACAGCTCCAGACGCTGCAGTCAGATGCTGCAACTCCTGCCTCTTTGGATAGCTTGGTATCCATCATGGACTGCTGCCGCAACCATCTGGTGCTTACTTCTAGCACCACGGGCACTGAACACACTGGTTTTGGACTTGAGAAGGCGCTTTCTGTGCTTGCTCTTCTGCCTGATGTTAAGGCTCATATGAGTTCTTTGAGCTTGCTCAAGCATCTTATGATGTGGCAGTTTTGTGGCATGCTCTTGAGCTTATATTGGTGGCTTGGAGAAGATAGCACTCAGCTTGTCAAAGATATGCGTGAGACGCTTGCTATGCATGGCACGCAGGAAGTCTATGACCGTTATCCTCTGTGTGCTGAGCTGTTTCTTCGCATTGCTGCTTTTGTCAAGCTCCGTTACCGCGCAGCGGCTGGGAAGTCAAAGACCGGTCTAGAAGCAGCTGGCAATTCAGAGTTCCTACAGGAACTATTAGATGACTCCATCGCGGATCTCGCTCTCATTCCCCCCTCAGCTCTTCCTTCTTTAGATGGTACACCATTGCCACTGTCAGATTTGATAGAGCTTACTTGTGAGCCTTTCGAGAGCACCACTGAGATGTGCACAGTTCATCTCCGCCTTTGCGAATGCTTCCAATCTACCATCCATGACCATGTGATGGGCTCTGGACTTCTACGATTTCTGGAGACCTTGGATGCTTGTACCAGCCAGCCCAAGCCACCCAAACGCTCGCGCAAGCATCAGGCAGAAGCTTCTACACCAGCTAATGCTGAGCAGCGGATCATGATTCTGGGTTCCGTCCTTGAAGTCATCTACTCTGTTGCCGGCAGCGATACTATCTTCTGCGCACCAGTCATTGACAACATCTTATCTGACTAGACGCAATGTGCCAAACTCATCTCACCGCACAACAAGAATGACGTACAACTTGCGCGCACCATCAAGCACGGCAACTGCACTGACCTCATAAGTCTCAAGCAACGCGCGGCGGATCTGATTGCCGCAGATCAACCTATCTTGGAGCTGTGCAACAAAATCTTTCACATCGTCTGGGACTCATCCTTCCCTTCTTCTCCAAACTCCCATGAGATGTCTTATCGCCCCTTGTTCATTGCGCTCCTCTCGAACCAAGAAGGCCGCCGCTTCAACAATCCGCTCCAATTTCCAGACCGTCGATGTTCCCGGCATGCTCAATGGCGCAGAGAGTCTGGATGTCACTCTTCTCTCTTATCTTGTGCACACACGTCTTCAATTCTCCCATGGTGGCCCGACTGCTGTGGATTGTGAACACGTGCAGAACATTTTGTGTGGCCGCCATCCCACAAATGGTAGAGCTCCCAAGAAGTTTGCCAACATTGATCTCTTTGATATATCGCACATTAATAATGCCGGTGCAAAGGCCCTACGTGCAGTCTTCGGATCCTCTCCTATCTCAATCACCAGTATCTATAGCAGTTCTCGTTTGGCATCTTGAGTTGGCTCTGGCCAAGGCTATACAACTGGCGCTTTTGCTACCCTGCCTGCCTGGGCAACCATGTCCTCTCTTACAGACTGTGTCAGTCACTTCCTTGTGGGTACAGGTGTGGCGGTGGCGCTATGTTTTTCATAGAACTAGCGTGGGATATCAGGGATGAACGGATGTGGTGTGTGTGGCTTCGGATGGATTCGGACTAAGTCTCGTGACTCGTTATGGACTCGTGATTTGGCCTATATATATGCTCATTTATACCTTATGCGCTTCTCTTTGAACTTGTTCTTTTTTAGCATAGCCTCGGTTCATAATTATTCTCTTGGTATAGCTTCCACCTATAGTGTAGCTTTCCTGCGGCAGCGCGGCGTAGCTTTACGGTGTTTGGCAGTATAATACACCTTTGCAGCGCTCGGCACAGCCTTGGCATAGGACTGGTAGAGTACTATAAAAGCCTGTCAAACTCATCCTAGATCTGCATCTCAGCCTCTTTGAGTTGCGGTCTAGGTGAGTGGTTTGCGTTGTATTTTATCTAGAAGCTATCTAACTTTGAGTTGCGGTCTAGCTACTTGCTGCGCACTAGTAAGGCCATGCCCGCTTGACATTCTGTCCAGGACTCTTTGCTGTGGTCAAGTTACCCACCATTTTCTCGCACGTCCGTATATGTGTGATTGTGTCTCTTCTCTACGGGCTCATGCTAGCCCTCCGTCTGCTCGCGTTCGTGTTACGCGTGTTTGTGTGTGTCTTGGGGCATTGCTCCGCAATACAGGGAGGAGTGCACGAACAGAGTACATTAAATGTGATCCGATGTAGCTTGGCCAGCCAAACCAATGCTACAACCCCCTTCGTACAGGGTTAACATACAAATCTCACAACGCGCCCTTTTGGACCGACGACTTTCAACAATGCTGGGTCAAGTTCCTGGGCCCACTTCATAACCATCCCAATCCGCAATCTGCTCCACTAGAGGATAAACCCACACACATGGCTGCTATCGAATTCATACATGGCACCGGAGTCTCTCCATTCCGCACCGGTCTAGGCGCTCTCCAGTTTGCAAATGACTTGGCGATTCTCAGCATATGCCAGCCACCCAGTGTCTGGTCTTTGAGTACATGGATTGTTGAGGAGGGAGCCAATCTCGGTGCATTTGGTGTGCTGAAGAGGCTGGGATTTCACTGTGCTGAAGGAATGGATCCTGTGGTTCTACAGAGACATGTTGCGACCACCATCCAGGCAGTATATGACCATCTTTGCGCAGGCCTCAGTGCGGCAGATGCCCAAACACTTCACCTAGGGCCCTTGGTGGTGGAACATATTCTGTGCAAAGTTGTGCGCTGGGAGTCATGGGTATCTGGTATATGGTCAGTAGCAGGTAGCCCAGACTTTGCTGCATCTTATGATGTTCCGCGTGTTTTTTCGAGAGCAACAGTTGAGGCAGCTTGGCTACAAATTAAGCCTGAGTTGGGAGGTATGCTATTCAGTTTTGCCCTCAATCTTGTTCACTCACATATATGCAGAGATCTAGAAGCATACAAGGCTTCCGGAGAGAAGGGCATCAAATGGAGGCGCGCTGTTGCAGCCAAGGTTGTAGGAAAGGCTGTAGGGACAAGCAAGCGCAGACACAATGAAGAGATATGATCTGGTGCTAGATAGAGTGTTTATTATCCTCATACATGCATGTTCTTATTGAGTGTTCCTAGGGAGATCATGCCATACCAACTCCAGCTTCTTGAAACCGCACTAAAGCGTCAACCGCTCGAGACCAACACTGCATACAGGGGATCCATATCTCATGAGGCAAATCAATCGGGACCTTCTTCTGTGCCCAGCCAATAGATAGTGACCACCAGGTAGGATAGCCCGTGCTAGGCTATCTTGCTTCCCAATCATCTGGATGAGCACAGAAATGTTCCGGTATTGTTTCAGCTCGATCCAGGTTGTCAAGGGCCTCAAGGAAATGTTTGAGCCTGTCTCGACTTGCGAAGGGATTGACAACACGCGGCACCTATAGGACGGTAAGTATATGCTTGCAAATAGAAGTTGTGAATGTTATTGGTACCTTGATTGCCTCATGCCGGATATTAGGCTCTTGTGTGGCTGCAGTGCGTGCTATCACATTGTCTTCATCGTCACTCTCTGAGGAGTTGTGTGCCTGGTCTTCAAAACTCCACGGTGCATGCTGATCTCCACTGATATGCTCCTCTTCTCTATTGTCTTCACTCTCAGTATCACTGTCGTCTAGCGGATTTTCATCACTCGATTCTCCATCCTCTTCTTCATCCTGTTCTGTGACTGTACAATTGAGGCCACGGCGTTGGGCATCTCCCACTACTTCATAATACTTTTCAAGCAAGTCTGGATCAACATCCTCATATGGATCCTTGTAAGCTCCATGCTGAACAAGCGACAAGAACCGTATGTCCTGTCACATCTTTTGAGTTCACTTCCAATCAGACTAGCATGTCGCTTACATTGGGAGTTCAATCATTGCTACGTTCGCCTCACATGTCATGCAAGTCCCAGTCCCTCACAAACTTATCACAGTCACGTTGGATATCATCAAGAAAGATGACTCGGAGCAGCCAGAGGTGGTGTGGATTCGTGCGGCTTAACCCATGTAGAGCCTCAAGACGGTAGAAAAATGCCCTCCAACGTCTCGCAAAGATGTGACCAACCTCCCTCCAGATACGTTCAATGCGCTGATTATGAGTAGATCTACAAATGTGTCAGTAGAAGGTCTTGCATGTAGCTGCTCTGCACGTACGATCCCCACATGAATGAAGCTCGATTCTCGCCTCGCCGCACAATCATATATGCAGCAATAAGAACATTCTCCCCACTCCAATCTCCGCGCACACGCAAAGGACATCCATGCTCTTTCACAGCATCTTGGAAGTCACGCAGTACGGTGCCTGCCTGGTTATTAGTGTTAACTTTGAGCATAGTGATCTAGTAAACTGGTCAGCGCTAGTAAATGCATGTTCTCAAGATGCCTGCTAACGCAATTGTCAAAACCATCCACGCATCCGTGAATCACAAAGCCCCATGCAATGAGCTTATGATGTCCATCAAGGTGCTAGAGATGATTGGCTTTTTGGACACTTTACGTGTCGCGGGGTATATCCTGGCGACCACTTTCAACAACGCCAAGGCCATCCACACACTTCATGGATGTGCATATGTAATTTTTCTGTACTCGCAGGCCATTGAAGCGGAAGTAGGCGCAAACAAAATGAAGTCCAGTGTTTGGGCGCTCCATGTGAAAACTGCGGACAAGGAGATCAATTTCTTCATCCAGAAGCGGAGTAAACTTGCGCTCAATGACATATGCTTCCATGGCACACATAACGAGATGACGGTCTACATGTAGTGTATGGGCAACATCAGTAATGGTGATCTTGCAGTAAGATGCAAAGGCTGCGCGCAGCCACTGCTCGTTGATAACTTTGCATAGTCGTCCACGCTGCCCAGTGTGCTCAATCGTAATCAGACTGAGATGATATAATGATGTAGCCTCTTGTCCCCTTCCAGGCACTCAGTTATAGCATTCCTCGTTGCAGATCTAATCCATCTACGCACCCAGGATCTGTCCTTGATTGCACGGCTGTTGCTAACCTCTGCTATATCTCCCCAAGATTGAGCGTAGCCTGCTCAATCTATTCAACATGATCCTGATCCCTCATATCAAAGCTGTCACACAGAGTGTAGTGCAGGGGTACTGTATCAGTTTCAAAGCTGTCCATGAAGATCTGAAAACAGTGCACATCGGCATCATCTTGAGATAAGACAGCAATCAGGAAGCTACAGCTATCTGAGAGCTTATGATGTGCTGCTAAAACAGATTGTGACCATCTTTGGCCCTGAACTAGTTGAGAAAGGGATGGGTAGCTATGCATGAGTGCAAAAGATAGAGCATGATGTGCCAGATCAGATTGATAACAAGAACAACTAAACTCCCACGGGCCTACCATGCAGCCCACACGACGCGGCAATGCTCATGACGTGGGTGCCAGCATTCTCTTCATCCCTCCCACCTATCTCACTGAACTGTCTCTAAAGTTCTACCTCATGGCCACCACTAAGCCAGTGCGTATCTATGTACTCTGTCAGGATACCTGATGCTTACCACATATAGGTTGAGATTACGGTTTATCCGCCACCTGAAGCATCTCAAGGAATCACTGTCCGCTGCTCGGAAGAGTTCTGGGACAATACCGCTGGCAATGGTGCCGTATACATTGTGGTGAGTTTCATAGGAGCAGCCGTCTCTCCATCCAGATTGACTGATTGAGATCAGGTGGAACGGACACTCATGCGCCTCCCTCCATTTTCCCTGCGCCGACATTCACAGTACTTCAATGACATGTTCAGTCTTGATGAGACCGGAGGAAACGGGCCCCAGGAGGGACACCTTCTGACTTGTCCACTCTTTATGCCTTCCCATATCACGCTCCGTGCAATCACACCACTCTTCCGTCATATCTACGGTGCTGTTCCGTACGTATCTATGCTGTGCTGTTCCGTATGTATCTATGCTGTGCTGTTCTTTACCGTTGAATCTGAGGCTTACACCTATATAGAGTCGAGGATAGCAAGCAGGATAGCCATGTCACTTCAGTCGAAGATGTCATAGCTTATCTCAAGGCCTCTCGATATCTACAGGCACGCATTCCGTACTGTGAGGCTGTCTCTACCCTTGAAGCAATTGAGCTTGCTCGTACACACTCCAATTGGAAATCTTGGTGGACTCCTCTGACTCGTCTTGCTGTTGCAATGACATGTTCAGTTGAGCGCTGGTTACGCCTCCCAGGAACGTACACATCTGTCTTTATGATGCCCATCTGTGAGTTGCGTACTATGCAGCTATGTTCTATGGCGCTGATGTAGGTCACTAGCTTTATGGTGCTCTCCTCTTTTTTTTTTGTGGGCCATTATAGTCTTTTCGCATGGCACTCGCGATATCAGACTCTACCGTACTCTAGTCTAATGCATATTTGTCGTTCCGTGAGGCCATTGATGTTTGTGCGGCGATGTAGCCGATGCTATGTGTAGCGTCTTGGTTGCACGTGTCGTATTGATGTTCCCGCATAAGTTGGCTCCATCGTGTCGTGTACCGCAAGGCGTGTGCGGCGGCATTGTTGTCCTTCCGTACCCTCAACCCCCGGGCTCCCCGAGACGAACAGCGCCATTAAAAAACCCCAGTGGGGAAAAAGACTACCGTCGCTCGCCGATCCTATGCCGCTCTGTCCCTCGTTGAAAACACAGCAGCAGATGCCGCCCGGCATTGTTGAGAACGGAGAAGCGGATCCGCGCGGAGTCCAGCCCTAAGGCCGGCTGAAGAGCAGCTGTAAACCAGGTGCCGGAGGTAGTGGCCGAAGGTTGCCGGAAGGGTTTAAAACGTACTGT